TGGTGCCGATCGTTCACGAACCCTTTGATAAAGAATTTCATAATACACTGACAACAGCTGTGAAACAGGCACATGACAACACAGTAGGAGTAAATACTATTTATTTCATTAGACCATTAAAACCATTAAACACAATAAACCCAAGACAATCTAAAGAAATAACCACTTTACACATTTTCTCTGCAGCAATATTGAATTTCAACCGTTAGATTAATGCAGCAGTAATCAGGCATCAGTCAAAATCAACAGCGTGCCAGAAGCACGTAGAAAATAAAACCATAATGAAGGATTTGTTCCAACACACCCTCTTGTTTGTCCCATCAGCTAAAAAATGACAGTCAAGAATGTGAACTGTAACATTTGATAGAATGCCTTTAAAATATTTGATTAAACTTATAATAGAATAAAATAAAGCAATAACTTAGTAGCTTCCAAGAGAAAAAACCTTTCAGTGTGAATGTGACTATACACAGCTTATGTAGAAACTTTGTGACGTCTGGAGTAAAGGAAGTCACTGTAACAGTAAAATGAGGTGAGGAAAAAAACTTTGTTCAAACGGGTGTTCTGAAAAATAATAATGGTTTGAATGTTTAGAAATGTATTAAAGTGGTTGTGATGAGGCCAGCAGGTGGCTCTTCATAAGGTCTGTCAGCTGATCGGCTGAGGATCCTGATGCTACAGTAAAGGTTTTATGAGCCCAGCACTGATGGTCCGTTTAATTCTCTACTAAAAATAGATGTGTTGGAAAAAAAAAGACTAAACTTTGTGTCGCCTTCCAGCATTTCACAACTTCTCAGCTGACAACTAACTTTCTGTTATTGGTTCCATGTATCCATCATGAGCCAAACAGCCTGATGTTCAGTCCTGATCCTGGTCCTGGTCCTGGTGGCACTCAACACACATTGTTGAACAGCAACACACTTGACTGCTCTGCTGTAAAAAAAAAGTCTCCAAATCTGTTCCACCTGCACTAAGTTCACAAGTAACCATGAGGAACAGCCCTACACGTGAACAGTTCATGGACTAATCTGTGCAAAAAGGCAACATTCAGCATCTGGCTGCACATGTGTAATAACCAGTTTCAGCTTTACAGTTGGTTTTTGTAAGGCATGCACAGGTGAAGTAAAGAGAGTGAAGGAGTGAACATCCTTCAGTCTACAAACTCAGCACAAAGATGATGGGGACCAGTTAAGGACAAACCTGAGACTGGTGTATGAGCACAAACTTGTGCCATCACAAAGTGCATGTGACTTGCTCACACTGAATTTGTGTAGTCATTTGAAATTAATTCCATTGGTTTGAAAATGAATTTTACCAAACTGAAGCTGAATGTACTGGTTTGGGACTGTATTTCGTTGTTTTGAACATTCAGTTAGATTACTTTCATTTTCAGTTCTATTAATCAGTTTAATTTCCAACATTCAGTTTTTTGTGTCACACATCTAAGTCTTTGAGAAAGCCCCGGAGTAACTGAACGCAGACCGACAGATTTACATTTCACTTCGGTGGACGCTAGGCGTGGGCTTCTCTCTCCAGGAGGCAGTAATGCAGCAGAGCGAAGGTCAAACACCAGACAAGATGAAAACTTCCTTTACGGCGTATTTGGAGCTGGAGCAGTGCAGTGCACATGATCCAGATGTGTGACAAAAAACTGAATGATAGAACTGAAAATGAAAGTAATCTAACCGAATGTTCAAAACAACGAAATACAGTTCCAAACCATTAAATTCAATTTCAATTTGGTGAAATTCATTTTGGGACAAATGGATTTCATTTCAAATTACATGAGTACAGATTCAGTGTGAGCAAGTCACATGCACTTTGTGCTCATACTGCTGTCCTTCCAGAGGGAAATCAAACAAGGACATCAGAGAATTTAGTTCAAAGACCAATTTAAAAAAGTGTTTAGCTGAATGTCACAGGTTTGTGCCATTAAAGTGATTAGAGTAACCAGAAGAAAATGAGAAACATTTAAATATTTTCAAGACTAAAGTGATTTGTTGAGAGTCAATAGATTATTTAGGATCCTGTGCAATAGTGGTGAGCATTGAAGACACTGTGGACATCCTATGTGTTCTTCAGGGCTTGGTGGTAGGAGCAACTGGACCCACAGGCTGGCTGACAGGAATCACTCCAGTGGCCAACAGCACGATGATGAGGATGATGATGACCACAATGACCACAATGACTATGATCAGCTTCACGTTCTTCCACCAGTAGGCACGGGCAACTTTCTGAGATGTCTGTTTGAAGCCCTTAGCCTGAGCAGGAAGAGAAAAGTGATCAATCAAATGACACAAATACATCACACAATGAATGTGTCTGATGTGACATGTCTTGTGGGCAAGTAGAAAGTTTGTGTTCAGACTTCAGAATAAAGTCTTATAACAGAAACAAAGTGGAGAGAATAATGAAGAGGACTCAAAACTGAATCAAATCCAGGATGTTAACAGCATCTTAAAGGAATATTTCACTCAATCTACATCAATCTGCACTACCGTAATAGCCGGTCTGTAGAGAGCACCCAAATATAAACCGCACACACTAAATTAAAAAATAAGAATAAAAGTTGTACATATATAAGCTGCACTTGTGTATAAGAGTGGCTTATATACTGTATGTACAAACCGGATTCCAAAAAAGTTGGGACACTAAACAAATTGTGAATAAAAACTGAATGCAATGATGTGGAGATGACAAATGTCAATATTTTATTCGTAATATAACATAGATGACAGATCAAAAGTTTAATCTGAGTAAATGTAACATTTTAAAGGAAAAATATGTTGATTCAAAATTTCACAGTGTCAACAAATCCCAAAAAAGTTGGGACAAGTAGCAATAAGTGGCTGGAAAAGGGAATTTGAGCATATAATGAACAGCTGGAAGACTAATTAACACTATTAGGTCAATTGACAACATGATTGGGTATAAAAGAGCTTCTCAGAGGTCAGTGTCTCTCAGAAGCAAAGATGGTAAGAGGATCACCAATTCCACCATTGTTGTGCAGAAAGATAGTGCAGCAATACCAGAATGGTGTTACCCAACGTAAAATAGCAAAGACTTTTAAGTTATCATCATCAACCGTGCATAACATCATCAAAAGATTCAGAGAATCTGGAACAATCGCTGTGCGTAAGGGTCAAGGCCATAAAACTCTGGATGCTCGTGATCTCCGGGCCCTTAAACGTCCCTGCACCTCAAACAGGAATGCCACTGTCAAGGAAATAACAGAATGGGCTCAGGAATACTTCCAGAAAGCGTTGTCAGTGAACACAATCCACCGTGCCATCCGCTGTTGCCAGCTGAAACTCTACAGTGCAAAGAGGAAGCCATTTCTAAGCAAGCTCCACAAGCTCAGACGTTTGCACTGGGCCAGGGGTCATTTAAAATGGAGTGTGGCAAAATGAAAGACTGTTCTGTGGTCAGATGAGTCACAATTTGAAGTTCTTTATGGAACACTGGGACGCCATGTCATCCGGACCAGAGAGGACAAGGATAGTCCAAGTTGTTATCAACGCTCTGTTCAGAAGCCTGCATCACTGATGGTATGGGGTTGCATGAGCGCTTGTGGCATGGGCAGCTTGCATGTCTGGAAAGGCACCATTAATGCAGAGAACTATGTTCAGGTTCTAGAACAACATATGCTCCCATCTAGACGTCATCTCTTTCAGGGAAGACCCTGCATTTTTCAACACGATAATGCCAGACCACATTCTGCAGCAATCACAACATCATGGCTATGTAGGAGAAGGATCCGGGTACTGAAATGGCCAGCCTGCAGTCCAGATCTTTCACCTATAGAGAACATTTGGCGCATCATAAAGAGGAAGGTGCGACAAAGAAGGCCCAAGACGATTGAACAGTTAGAGGCCTGTATTAGACATGAATGGGAGAGCATTCCTATTTCTAAACTTGAGAAACTGGTCTCCTCTGTCCCCAGACGTCTGTTGAGTGTTGTAAGAAGAAGGGGGGATGCCACACAGTGGTAAAAATGGACTTGTCCCAACTTTTTTGGGATTTGTTGACGCCATGAAATTTGGAAACAACAGATTTTTTTCCCTTAAAATTATACATTCTCTCAGTTTAAACTTTTGATCTGTGATTTGTGTTCTACTCTGAATAAAATATTAGATGTTGGCACCTCCACATCATTGCATTCAGTTTTTATTCACAATTTGTTTAGTGTCCCAACTTTTTTGGAATCCGGTTTGTAGATGTTGGCACCTCCACATCATTGCATTCAGTTTTTATTCACAATTTGTTTAGTGTCCCAACTTTTTTGGAATCCAGTTTCTACAATATAAAGATACATAGTCCTCGTTTATCACGGGTGTTAAGGACCACACCCACGATAAGTGAAAAACTGAAGTAGGAATACAGTAGTTCAACTTCTAGTTCAATTCTAGTTCATTTCTAGTTCTAGTTCAGTTCAGTTCTAGTTCAAGTTCTAGTTCAGTTCTAGTTCAGTTCATTCTAGTTCTAGTTCAGTTCTAGTTCAGTTCTAGTTCAGTTCATTTCTAGTTCAGTTAATTTCTAGTTCAGTTTTATTTCTAGTTCAGTTCTAGTTCCATTTCTAGTTCAAGTTCTAGTTCAGTTCAAGTTCTAGTTCAGTTCTAGTTCAATTAATTTCTAGTTCTAGCTCAGTTCTAGTTCAGTTCTAGTTCCGTTCAAGTTCAAGGTCAGGTCCAGTTCAGTTCAAGTTCTAGTTCAGTTCATTTCTAGTTCTATTTCATATAGGCTTCGACCCTTAAGGCTGTCGCTGGTGGGTTTATCCTTAGGTGCTCAGCGCTGCACTGAAAACTTTAGTCCACACCCACCTGCTGTGTGTGGGCCTCATCCCCGGTCTGTATAAATTATGGTGAGACTGGGTAATCGGCTCCCTAATTTTTCTTCAGCCAGCTAGCTAGCACTGTCAAAAGAACGAAGAAGAAAAAGTTGTCCAGCTTTGACTGGCACAACCTTTGCTAAGGATGCCTGGGTCTCTGCCTTGTCAACCTCCTGCCGTCCCGGTGAGCACTTCCACCCCGAGGAGAAGCAGACGAACAGCCTTGTTCAAGGTAAGCACAGTGGAGTGCTTTTCTGTGACGGGCCGCTACCCGTTGGGACGATGCCATCGCCTTTTCTAATGTGTGTTTTCCTCACGGTAATCAAATGATTTCCTCAAAAAGGCGATGTTAGCAGCAGCCCCGCCGAATGTTTTTCCATGGAGGGCCGCTACTTGCTGGACGACGCCACCGCCTTTTCTAACGAGTTTTTTTCGAGGTAAATTGGATGATTCCCTCGAAAAAGGCAATGTTGGCAGCAGCTCTGCTGAGTGTTTTTTTCTGTGGCGGGATGCTATGCGTGGGACGACGCCACCGCCTTCTTTGACGCAGAGTCACGCTGTGAATTGAATGATTCCTCCGAGAAAGGCGATGCGGAGCTGCCCCTTCCCTCCTGGAGAGCGTAGTGACGGAAGACAAGTGGCCGAGCGGATGCTCAGCCACCTCGGATCTTCCCACATCGGTGACCACACCACTCCCAGCCATCGGCGCCCTCCTCTCAGAGCTGCCTGGCATAATCCAGGAGGATGTTAACACAAGGGACTTTCCATCCCTCGCCTCCCTCCACCCTGATCGGATGATCTGGCGGCAAGGTTGGCTCTGCCCCCGCTCGTCGCCCTGACCCCATCTGGCCTCGCTGTCCAGCTGTGACATCACACTGGAACGAGGCTGCAGCTGGGCCGGCAAGCTGAAGACATCCGTCTCCACCTTCATGTCCATCTCCAAAGTGGAGGGTTTTACCGATCTGTGTTTTTTTCCCCGTCACTCCAGAGGCACTGTTCGGGGCCAACTTCAGGACCATCCTTGAGGAATCGCAGAGGTCCGAGGAGGTCTCAGAGACTGTAAACCATCTGGTGACGTTACAGCCCATTTGCCCCTCCGGCCGCTGGAGGAACCACCTTGGCCAGCAACAGCACCAGAGGTGCTCCACAGCTGCAGCAGTGACTTCATGCCCCACTCCTCCGCCAGCCCCCTCCACCAGTTAACAGATCCTTGAGGGGAAGGTATGCGTTTTTTGATTATGTATGTTTTTGATATAAAACAGAAACACCTCTGAAAGTAAAGTTGTTCATCTGAGACTGTCAGATCAGCTGATCTGTCAGCTACCTTTCCTCACACATTCCCCACATAAAACGAGCCAGTAACCTCTAAACAGCATTTTAAATGGCACCACAGTTCAGTAAATATCACAAAACACTTGTCTGCCATGTCAGCTAAAATCACGTTTTTTCAGTAGACCGAGTCCAGTAAAATCCATTGTTTTTCAGCCAGAGCACGTTTTTAATCTCTGCTGTTTTCTGCCCACTCACAGCGCAGCGGGAGTAAACGTGTTTCTCCACGACAGCTGCAGCCTCCACCGAAACGGCGTCTCCCTCAGAAAGCGCTCACGCCTCCTCTCGGTGCGCGCCGGCTCACCTCAGCTCTATGTGAGACCGCAGCCTGGGCTCAGCACAGAGGCACACATACAGCCCTTTTTTCTGTCGGAACCCCCATTGGATTCCCCCGGAGAATCTCCGGAGTGAGTGATGGCAGTAAGGATTTTTTAGTCTGGTTGACGTTCATGAGAAACATGACACAACACAAATGCATGCCCGTTCTCCGAGTGCTACTCAGAGTGGCAGCGAGTGTGTTCCCTGGACAGATGGACGGACCATCTGATCAGAAGGGGTTACATGCTGCAGTTCGCAGCTCAACCCCCACCGTTCAGAGGTATTATAGATATGGTTCCTTCTTCTCCAGAACAGAGCTCGTCTCTCCAGTCAGAAGTTCAGAAATTCCTGGTAAAAAATGTGATTTCCAGAGTTCTCAACAAAGAGGAAAATACTTTTTTTTCCCTCCCACTACTTCCTGGTTCTGATAAAAAATAATCGGAGGGATGAGACCCATTCTTAACCTGTTCGTGTTCAGCAATTCGATCACAATTCCACATGCTGACAAACAGCTGCTGGAGAACTTCACCAGAACGACTGGTTTTCACTTCCATAGATCTGAAGAGCGCATATTTTCACATTTCCATCATTCTGAAACACCCCACGCACATTCTCGAAATGTGTGGAGATGGCTCTGCAGTCGTTCCACATGGCAGGAATGAAAAATCTTTTTATCTGGACGATCTGCTCTTATTAGCTCGGTCCAGTTAGAAAGCTGTCGCACAGCCCAAAACACTAGTGTTACACCTGCTAAACCTGGGGTTTCTATAAACTGGGAAAAACTTC